GGCAGCTTCCTGCTTCCCTCGGCCCAGGCAGCCCAGCATTAGCAATACCCCGCCCCTTGCTAATGCTGGGCTGCCCGGGCCGAGGGAAGCAGGAAGCTGCTGGGGAGAGGGGATCTTGCCAGCTGCGGAGCGCTCGGCCGCCGAGCCCTGAGCTGCCGCAGGAGGCGGCCGCGGCGATGTTGGGGCCGTGCTGAGCGTGGGGCGCGATGGCCGAGGAGCCGGCCCCTTCGCTCTTCCGGCCGCGCCTGCCACCCCCCTCAATGGCTCCTCCGGAGTCCGGCCGTGCTGCCCGCCTCCCCCGCCTGCAGGAGCCCAGCGCCAACCCGGCAGGTGCCGCTTTTGAAAAATTTGCTGAGGGGAAGCAGCTGCTTCCCTTGAACCCCCCAGCTACGCTCCTGCCGTCTCCGGCAGAGAGTGTCTCCTGGAGCACTGCAGGTGCGGCACGACTGGGGAAGAGCGTGAATGATGAGACATGCTCAGCAGCTTCACAGCTGGCCTCTGGAGCGGGCGGATGGCTCGCTGGGAGCACACGTACTCCCTGAATCCCTATGGTCTTGTGTCCCATCCCTGGACTAATCTTCCCCCACCCCGCAATGGAGCCTGCTCTCTTGGTTGGGAGACAATGACCTAAATGATCTGAATCATTGCAACACGTGCAGCAATTGGGACCAACCGCTTTTCGCTAAGCCAGGCCTGCAGATGACATCTCCTGACAGCCATGACCCAAGAACACCAGAACGGCAATACATGGCAAGGGACAATCTGCAGCAGCTGGTACAATGGTGCCAACCGCAGCTCCTCTTAGCTGAGACTCGGGTTAAGGAAGAGAATGACCAAGTTCCAGGATTCAGAAACAAGCCAACACACCTGAGTCTATGGGACTCTGAGGCTTCTACAGGGAAAGGAGGGGCGGGAACATCTGCGTATAGAGAGGGCTGATGCTCCCTAGGTAACTTTTATCCTCGTTAATTTGGTGGTGTTAGCAGAACTCATGGCTCAGAGCCCCCTCGGGGCTGCCTCATTGTCTTCGGCTGCAGAAATGTGGGTAGGTAGAAGCTGGGAGAAGCTATCGATGAATAAGTTAGATGCTGCTGGGAGAGCTACAGTAAAGCTGTAGAGAACCTCCTGAAAAACAGGACCTTGTTAAGTGACGTGTTTGTTTGATTCCTCCCAACGTATTGTGGGAAGCTCTTAGCTGCTCTCTCACACATTTCTTATCACATACAACAGACAAGACAAGTTTTGGGCTCTGACCCCCAGGACGCACGCACCACACAACCGGAGGAGTCCAATTTGCGGTCCGAGATGCAGCGGAAATTCTTGCTGCAGCCCCCGTTGTCCTTGGAGCAATCCCGAACCGGTCCAAAGGAGTCTAAGAGAACCTCCAGGCTATCAAAGGAGGAGGAAGTCATCAGTTCTTCCCTGCAAGGAGGAGGGGAAAGGGACAATACGAAAGTCAGCTCCTAGAGCATAAATATATTTAACTCCATTTCAATCTAAAGTGCTAGTGAGTACAGACATATTCACACATCCACCAATACACATTTGCACCTACAGTGGTACCCAGTCGTGTGGTCATATTTTTGTACAAAACTGTACTGATCCCAAGTGCATATTAGACTAAACACACGCACTGGTTGGCTGGACACCTCACTATCCATTTGTACACTATCCATTTGTACATGGACAGTGCATGCTGTGCGCACGGTGGTAATAACTTTATGTGCAAATGCTGGCAGAGGCCCACCTGCTATTGTGGAAATGTGACTCAGAGGATCCCCACCACTCAGTAGTGAGGACTCTAAGTCTTTATGTAGCTGGTTAGCTTTAGTCCTGTGAGCTGACACTGGTAAGACCCAACAGGTACTTTCTGAATGACTTAATCTACTGGGAACAGCTGAGATGTCTTTGAAGGCATGGCTCTAAGCAGGCTGAGGACCATGGCACGCAAAAGGCACAAGGTGAATGTTGTACTAAACTCTGTGCAGGAAATGTGCACCTGAAGGGTTGCCCAGTGTACACAGTGAGATTTTCATGCAAAGCCCATTGGAGTCAGAGGAGAAACTCTCATGGGACTTCACTGGGCAGTGGGTCAAGCTCTATATCAGGGGTCGGCAACCTTTCACAAGTGGTGTGCCGAGTCTTCATTTATTCATTCTAATTTAAGGTTTTGCATGCCAGTAATATATTTTAATGTTTTTAGAAGGTCTCTTTCTCTAAGTCTATAATATATAACTAAACTATTGTATGTAAAGTAAATAAGGTTTATAAAATGTTTAAGAAGCTTCATTTAAAATTAAATTAAAATGCAGAGTCCCCCGGACCCAGGCAGTGTGAGTGCCACTGAAAATCTGCTCGCGTGCCGAAGGCGGCACACGTGCCATAGGTTGCCTACCCCTGCTCTATATCCTGATGTCCCATCTACATCTGAATGAACATCCACCAGAAAGACACCAAATGCCACAGCACTGAAGGACTGTAACAATACAGAAGCTGGGGTTAGCTCTATGGTTCCTCCAACTTCAGAGCCTGCCTTGTGAGTGCGATCCTCCTCCCCCAATACTGGAGTGGCCCTCTGGACTTCCCGTGCCTCCAGCTCCACGAACACACTCACCTGACCTCCACCGCATCCTCCATCACCGTCATATCCGTTTTGCACTTGGCTGAGGGGTTGATGGCCAGTTCGGCCGGCGGGATCACAAAGCTCTTACTCAGTGGCAGCCACATCCCTTCCCCCAGGGTGTAGGTGAACCTGCCGGACAGGGTTAGAACCGTTCACTAGGGAAGGAAAACAGCGCCCACCTGAGTTCGAGCCACACAGGGGGACAAGGGGAGGGGCACATGTAGGAAGCGAGGTCCGACTGCCACAGCAACTGGATAGGGAGGATGGCACAGGGCCCGTGCCTCCCCCACCTCCTGGAAGAGAATTGTGGATAAGTGTCCCGTGAAGAGCCCCTCCACTCCCATGACCAGGTCATTATACAACCAAAGCACAGACAGCTCCTGAGCCAGCCCATGGGAGGGAAGGAGATGCTGAGGTACTCAGATGGCTTTGGGTGTCTAGTCACGGCCCCCATTCCTATAGTATCCAGCACCTCACAATCTTTAATGTATTTGTCCTCAGACCCCCTCAGGAGATAGGGAAGTGCTACCATCTCCACTTGATGGGTGGGAAACTCAGGCACAAGGTTGATTAAGTGACTTGCCCCAGGTCGCCTAGGAAGTCTGTGGTTGATTCAGGAATGGAACCCAGGTATTTGGAGCACCTGTCATATGCCCTACTCAATCATCCTTCCTAGCCCCCAAGCCAGCCTAGATGCCTTCAGTAAAGTTTTGCTACAGAGTCTGACTGTAGCACCTGCAAAGTGCAGGGGGCAGCATGGCTATAGAGGGAGAAAGGTTCCATGGGGCAGGGAATGGGAGGAGGAGAAGACAAATGGGGCTGTGGGTAAGGGAGGAAGACTGGCCTTGCAGTTTGGGCAATGCATGGGGACATGGAGGATGTGGGACCATTTCCTGGCTCTGCCAGATTTCTTGGGTGACTCTGGTTGAACCACTAAGGCTGGGAATTAGAGGACACCACTTTCCGCTGAAGCTGGGAGACTGGCTCCTTTGAAAACCCCAGCTTTACTCTCTGTGTGTCCCAACTCCCCATTGGTACAATGGGGCTTCTTTTAACTGGCTAGGTGGTAAGTCATGTTTTCGGGGGCTGGAACGGCTGTGTTTGCACAGCACCAGGCATGCAGGGGGCCTGGCCTCCACACACTGCTGAAATGTAGAGAGTGTAGTGGGGGACTGCAAATCGCCCCCAGTGCGACCATGGGGAAGGGACAGGCAGTCTGCCACAGCCCCCTCAGAGCGGGAACACAGCAGCTGCAGCGCTCCCTGGAGGAGAGGCGCCCCCTGTCACTGGGAGTGGGAAGCACACTCAAAGCTATCGCCCTGCCTCCCAGCATAGCAGCCGCGGCTCCTAGGCAGATGAGTCCCTCTTCCTGACAACTACCGCAGTCAAGGTAGTCAGGGCACAGGTAGGGAGCTGAGGGATGCAGCGAGAGGTTATTCATTTATTCATTCACTCGTTTGCAAGCTCTGCATTTGTCTGGGTGGGTGTCAGAGCAGGGCCTTCCAGCAGGCTCCCCGCTCAGAGGCAGTAGAAATGGGCAGGCATGAACAAGGAGTATGAACACTGGCCCCACGTGAGCAACATGCTAGTCACTGCGGTGCAAAGGGGAAGAGGTCTCTTTCCTCTCTCCCCCTCCCTGCGAGCACTCAGATGCTGCTTTCATTCACTACAGACATACCAGCCTTCTCCAAAGGAGGCGCTCTCTGTCTCTGGGCTAGAACCTCCGATCCCAGGGCCTAGGCCAATCTCCAACTGATGGGCATCCTGGGGCAGCTTATCCCATCACTGCCCGCTGTAGGATTCGGCCTGTGACAAAGTTGGTGCTGGCCCTGTCAGAGTGGCATCCTGAATGGCAATTTGTATGTTTCCCCAGGGGGAGGAGGCAGTGGGACTGTGCGCAGCCAATCAGGGGCCTTCATCAGGAGCCACTGAGCTAGTCACGGCTCCAGCCGCCACAGAGAAATAGCCTCGTCGCTTTCTTTCTTTCCCCATTGACTGATGTTAAAGGTGCTGCATTACCAGGCCTGGAAGCTGACATCCTCTGCTCTTCCCAGAACAAGTGGAGCCCTGGCAGTGCGCCCCACCCCCATCCCATGAACATGACTCCAATCTGCCCCGGCTAGATCACCTCCAGGCTGAGCAGCAGGGTCAGCCTGCACAGCCCATTCTGCCCATAGCCTCTCTACTGACACTGCCCGCAAGTGGCTGGGTGGAGTTAGTAGCACCTGGAAAATCAGAGGGCGGTTAACTCACCCACCAGTGGGAGATGATGGGGGAGAGCATCCAAGCTTGCCAGGTAACCAGAATGCAGGGAAGCTGCAGACCCACTGAGAATAAAAGCCAGACTCCAGCAGGCAGGCAAAACCCACTAGCCAAGAGCAGCTCGCGTGCACCAGCAGAGCACAGAGAATGCTGTAACCCTGTTCCCAGCCCCAGACAGGGTGATGCGGGGTGGGGAGAGGCGGGGACGCAGCACTGTGAGCGGGAACTGGAGCTCGGTGTGTATACCATGCCTCCCTGATGCCCACGGTGGAAACAAACTGCCGCACTCCATGCCTGCTCCCAGTGGCAAGCCAGCAACGCAACAGCACAGGGAGTTGCCGAGAGCACCGTAGCCCGGATCGATGAATATTCAGGGAGTTCAGAGGCATCATGCTGGGTCCTTGGGGACCTAAGTGCTCAACTAATGAGGTCCCAGCAGTCTCGGGCACCTCTGATTCTGCCGGAGTGCACGCACACGATATAATTGCCTTGCACCATCGCTAATGCTCCAAGCACACCAGCCTACAGGCTGGCTCATCAGTACACACTAGCTCAGAGTTTATAAACCTCTCTCCCCCTCTGAAGAGACGCATGAGAAAGAAAGGGGTGGAGAGAGGAGGAGCAGAAAAGGAGAAATAGAGCCAATGGGTTTTTTTTTTAATTCCAGGTGCTTTACAAATTTCTGTATTATTATTCCCTTCTCGCCAATGAGGAAACCGAGGCACACTGCAGATAAGTGATTTGACAGCAGTCATAGAGTAATTCCGTGGCTGAGTTGGAAATAGAACCTAAGTCTCCTGACACCCAGGCATCAGAAATGCTGCCACTTCCAAGTGCTCAGGACCTTGGTTTTCCACTTCACCCAATACAGGAAGCTAGGCATTCCCCACCTTCTTTGCCTCTTCCCCCTTCCTGTCTTCCCTCTCCCATCCCCGGAAGCACTCACTGATTCATTAACTCATTGATGCCTCCAGAAGGGATTGGAGGGGGCAGGGAAGAGAAATTAGGCTCTCTTTGAGACCATGCAGAACCTAGGGGCCTGCTCTGTAGTAGGACACAAGCTGAGGTCTTCACCCAGTCCTCAGCCCAAATCCTGAGGCATTAGCAGAGGTGAAAGTAAGCCGGTACGGTCCGGTACGGCGTACTGGCAAGAGCCAGTACACCGTGCTGGACCGCACCGGCTTCCGCGGCAGGCATTTAAAGGGCTCTGGGCTCCCCGCCGCAGCAGGGAGCCCAGAGCCCTTTAAATCCTGCCCGCAGCTCCGGTGGCCGGGCTGGGGCCGGGATTTAAAGGGCTCAGAGCTCCCATGGCTGCGGGCAGCCCAGAGCCCTTTAAATCCTGCCCACGGCTCCGGCGGCCAGGCTAGGGCCGGGATTTAAAGGGCTCAGAGCTCCCACGGCTGCGGGCAGTCCAGAGCCCTTTAAATCCCGCCCGCAGCTCCGGCAGCTGGGCTGGGGATGGATTTAAAGGGCTCAGAGCTCACCGCAGCGGCAGGAGCTCTGGGCCCTTTAAATCCCGGCCCCACCCCGGCAAGGCTTGGGGTTCCCCACAGCCGCGGGAGCTTCGGGCCCTTTAAATCCCGCTCGCAGCTCCAGCAGCTGGAGCTGCAGTGGGGATTTAAAGGGCCCGGAGCTCCGTGGCAGCCGGAGCCCCGGGCCCTTTAATTTTGCCCGGAGCCCCGGGGGCTCCCAGACACCTCTGAGCTGGGAGCCCCAGGTTGATTTAAAGGCGCTGGGGTTCCCAGCCACAGCCAGTGCCCCAGGGCCTTTAAATTTGGAGAGGCCCCGCCTCTTCCGGTTGAGGCCACGCCTCTTCCGGATGAGGCCACGCCCCCCTCAGGACTTCGGCAGTACTGGTTAGTCTGTAAGTTACTTTCACCCCTGGGCATTAGTGAGGCTCTACTCAACTTCTGTCAGAGCTTTGCCTGAGTAAAATCTAAACCAGGTAATGGCCTCGAGGTCTGGCCCTTAGTCCGCTGTAAATGGAGAGTGGAAATGACTCATTCCCATCGAGAGCACCACGTCACACCTCCAGTGGGCAGAGAGGGGAAACCGGGCTAAGGGCGGGGAAAATGGGAGATCATGAGGACAGGTGAATCAACACCGGTGCAAACACACAGTGGGGAAGCAGGAGGAAGAATGCACCAGAGCCGCCACCACGCAAACGGGGGCATGGAAAGGACAGCAAATGTGGCCGAGAATAGCACAGGAGCAGCCATGCAGCTTTGCGCACGCGCGCGCGCACCGCCTCCCCACCCCTCTCTCTCTCAAAGCCCAGCTGCCTTCACAGCCAGCAGATATGTGCAGGTAGCCCGGTAATAGCTCGCTTCTTCCATTGCATTAGTGTTTGTACTGAAGGAGACCCATCAACCAGTTACCCCAGGTCACCGCTCAACCCAGACGTGGCCGATCAGATCCCTCTGTTCGACACCCACACAGGATGTCCCATGACCCACGGGAACTGGGGAATGCATTTATTGATGGCCGATTGAGGCCCATTGTTCTGTTTGTGCCCAGAGGGCACAGGGAGGGGTTGGCTGGCGGCAGGGGGCTAAGGTAACCAGGGAGGCTGGCAGGGCAGCCAAGCCTTACCTAAAGATCTTATCAGAAGGCTGCTCTCCCAGCACCAAGTCAAATCCACGCTGGAATATTGTATATGGCCACGGCCTGGAAGGAAAAAAGAAAATGATGTTTGTATCGCACCACACGTACCAGATTTGGGGCCTGGGTCTGATCTCACATACACCCGTGAATATCAGAAGTGACCCCACTGGAGAGTCACACCGGGTTTATGCTGGTGTGAGACCAGAGTTACACTCTCTATACACCCAGGGATTGCTTCGCTGGTCAGTGGAATGCAGTTGTTTCTAGGGTTGCTGTTTAGCAGTGCACAGTAACACTAGGCAACAATTTAGGACAGGAAGCAGGGCCAATGTTAGACTTGCTGCAGGGCAGAAACTAAGGAGTGGGCCCCACCCAGCTGAAGCCAGAGCCACCTGGCATCCCTGTGTTCCCCACCCCTGAACGTTCCTCTGCGCTCCATAGGGGGGCATGCCCCACAGATTGAAAACCTCTGCTTTCGTGTGATTTATTTTCACTTTTAGCGATTAAATGACTAATATTCGCATTACAGTTACCCACAGTGACTCTACAGAGATGATGTAACTTAGCTTTGTAGGGGGGCCCGTGGCATGGGGCCCTGCACAATTGCCCCACTTGCCACCACCCAACACCAGCCCTGACAGGAAGTGAAGAAGACTAGCTCAGTTAATTGAATCTGAAGGAGGAATTCAGTCAGGCAGGAGGTAATGATCTAAACAGGACCTGGGCCAGGACAATGGAGCAAACACTCCCACTTCCAAATGACATCCGGAGATTTCTCGAATCCCTGCCCTCTGTCGCACTGCCCCCTACCACCGTCCTGGGGCATTGGTTTGGCACCAACACTCAGGGAGGGTCCCACCTACTGCATCAACAACATGGCGTCCTGCGGGATTCTGGGTTTCTTTTGGCTGTATCCCATCCCAGTACTGACCAGTGCTGATCCTGTTCTGATTTTGCAAGCAGCGCTGAGCAGACAAACCCCTGCCCCTGCCTGGAGCCCTGCTGACTTTGTTTAATTACCTTAGCTGCCCTCTTCTTCTTGAATTTAGCGAGCACATATGTAAGCTTTAGCACCATGTAGCAAACTCCTGAAGAAACTAGCCTCATCATATCCCCTCATAGTGTCTCCTCTGATGTAACACATGGTCGCCTCCCAGAGGAGAGAAAGCATGTAAGCAATGGAGGAAGGTGCTCCCGTTACAGAGTAAGTGGCTTTAATTGAATCTCCTGCTCAGTTTGTCAGACACGTCCGCCAACTGCACTGCGCAGCTTGTTTTCCCAGAGGCTGCAGCCGTCTAGGAAAGCTTTGGGGAAAATGGAGCTGTATTCCGCTGCCTGTTTTTAGAGAGGCTGGAGGAGTGAATGTTTTCCCCATGAACACTGTCTATGCAACTATGCAAGAAAGCCAGGTCTGAGTCTGGCCACAGGACTCAAATGCTGGGTCTGTCAAACTCTGGATAAGCTATAAAAGCAACATAAAAATCAGACAGTTCAGTAAAGAATGGTTACTTACCCTACAGTAAGCGTGGTCCTTCCCAATGCTGTAGACAGCTGAGATCCCTTTGTAGGCACACATATGGCTCATGCACGTAAAATCGGAATTATTTGACTTGCACATGTCCTGCATCTCCTCCTGCTCTCACATAAGGGCATAAAAGGCAGAGTGGCCCTGCCTCAGTATCCTTGCAATTCAAACCCCTGGCAGGAGAGGACTCCGAAAGCAGTGATGGAGGGCGGGTCGTGGTAGCCACGCTGAATACACATCTCAAAGAACCACAGTTCCTGTAGGATAAGGAACCATTCTTCTTCCATTATGTGTCAGTGGGGATCCTGCTGTGGATGACAGGCGAGCAGCATCCCACCTGGATGTGGGGACTGAGGAGTACCAGCTGCATTGGTCAAACAGTGATGGAAATACTGGTCTCCCAAACCTGACCTCTGACATAGTTGCTAACGCCAAGGTATAACGCCACCCTGCAGATTTCTGACATCAGCACATTCCCGAAGCAGAAGACTGATACTAGAGCTCTGGTGGAGTGAGACTTGGTGTTCAGTGGGAAAGCCACATCAGTCAGCTGGTAACACAATGAGATGCAATGGACAACACAGTGTAATATCGTCGGTGAATGGATGGCCTGATCTCTAGAATACCTGGCTATGGCTACACATAGATGGGGAGATAGCTTGAACAGTTTGGTCATGTCAATATAATAAAGCAAAGCCCTGGACACACCCAGCGTGTATAGTTTCTTTTCTCCTAGAACCAGCTGTGGTTTCAGGAAAAAGACAGGCCAGCTTATCATCTTGTTCAGATGAAATTCTGCATTTACCTTAAGAATGGACTTCAGGTGAGGTCACTGTATCATCTTGCTTGTATGGAATGTCATAGGGGACATTCAGCTCATAAGAATGGCCAGTGACAAGTGCCAGATGCTTCAAAGGAAAAGAACAGAACAGGGCAATTTTGAGTGATCCTGTTGTTCAGTGCCAGCTTTTGACAGGTGGAGATTTAGGGACTCCCAGGGCATGGAGTTGCATCCATGACCATCCTGGCTAATAGCCACTGATGGACCTGTCCTCCTTGAACTTATCTAATTCTTTTTTTAATCCAGTTATAGTCTTGGCTTTCACAACATCCCCTGGCACCAAGTTCCACGGGCTGATTCAGCGTTGTGTGAATAAGTGTTTCCTTTTGTTTGTTGTAAACCTGCAGCCTATTAATTTCATTGGGTGACCCCTGGTTCTTGTGTTATGTGAAGAGGTAAATAACACTTCTCTATTCACTTTCTTCACACCGTTCATGATTTTACAGACCTCGACCATATCCCCCCCTTAGTTGTCTCTTTTCCAAGCTGAACAGTCCCAGTCTTGGACAGCTTAGTGGATTTTAACAGAGCTGAACACAAAGCCAACCTGTTTTAAGTGCAATAAGTAGTTAGGGATCATGGTTTAAGCCAAGTTCACACCATGCTGGATGGCCCATATCGAGAACCTCTTCCATTTAGAGGAATGCCTCCTCCTGGTAGACATTTGCCTGCTGTGAACCAGGATTTCTTGGACCTGTAGGGATCAGCCCTAGTGAACCAGCCAAGAGCAGTGCTTTCAGGTGCTGCAACTCCAGGTTTGGATGGAGCATCGGGCTGTAGTGCTGTGAGATCAGGTGGAGGTGGCTGGGAGCTGGAGCGGAGACAGAACCAACGTCTGTAACAGCTTTGTCAGACAGAACTGCCTCAGCCAGCATAAGGCTACAAGACTGACGATGGCCCTGTCTCCAGATCTTGACGATCACCACTGGAAGCAACAGAAAGGCATACAGCAAACCTCTGCTCTACTGTAGAGGGAAAGAATCCAATAACAATCCTGGGTTCTGTCCTGCCCTGGAGCAAAAGTTCTTAGATTTGGTGTTGTCCTTGATGGCAAACAACTCTATTGTGGGGGGTCCACAATGGCAGGATATCAGTCCTATCACAAATCTGTGCAAGGACTATGCAGGGTTGGTCTGCTCAGGAAATCTGCCAGGTTGTCGCTGACTCCTGGGGAAGGGCCATCAGAGTTATCCCATTCTGATCATACCATGTTGGCTGTGACATTTTGCACTATCAAGTTCCAAAGGACAGGCAGGAAAGCCACACAGATAGTATGATGGCTCTGAGCTCCAGGACATTCATACCTACCTCCCTGTCGTCTAGGGACTAGGCCCCTTGTGTCTGTAGATGGTCCAAATGAGCTCCCCAGCCTGTCCCTGACACATACGTGATCAGGGTCCTTGTTGAAGCAAGGACTGAGGAGGACACCCCTCTCCACACTTCTGTGAGATCCAACCTCCAATCCAGCTTTGCAATGACACACGAGGCACTGAAACCTTCTTGTCTAGTCATCGTCTTGCTGCGGGAACAAACCGACCTGAGCCAGAGTTGGAGGGACTGAAAAGTCTGGCAAGTGGCACCACATGTGTGAATGCCAATATGTGGCCTAATGCTGCAAGTCATACACACCTGTACATCACACCTACTCCACTCCTATGCCCTTGCATGAAAACTTGGAGCATGCAGGACACCAAGAGACAGAACTATTCAAACATATCTGATCTCCCGCGCATCAGGTGCATGCACACCTAAAATGGGATCCACGCTGATGCATACTTGAAAGAGAACACCAGTTAAAATATGTTGCCATCCATCTTAGTTGGAGAGACACTGTCGGGTCAAAATCCCAAACAGCCCCATGCAGTAGTGGGCTGAGTTGACAGAGGCATCAGTATCAAGGGATTTCATAGTTTACAGCTGTGGAATGACTGCACCTGGAATAGTGCATCCATTTCTGGGCAGGAAGATATTGACAAGTTGGAAGGAATTCAGAGAACAGCAGGAAAAATAATAAGGGACGGGAGGGACTGATTAGGAGGAACAATTAAAAAAGAGTTAGTCAGGTGTAGCTTGGCTAAATGACAATAAGGGAAAACATGATAGCAGCACACAGACTGAGAGCAGGTGTAACACAAGCATGAAGGAGAATTATTTAGAGTAGCTGAAGCAGCTAAAAGAAGCAAACAAAAAGGGAAAAGCTAGCCTGAACATAAAGAAATAGGCTCTTTTAGATTCTGAAATAGTCTCCTGAGGGAAGTAGCAGAAGAACTCTCGTTTGGGGTATTAAAAGTGGCTTGATCAAAAATGTGCCACAAAGAGCATTCTGGCCTTGGCAGAAAGATGGGCTCAATCTCCAACTTGCTTGGTAGAGAATGTGGCTTGATGGTCAAATGCTCAGGGTAGTGATGTGTCACTAATGACACATGGCACCGCCACCAGTACCAAGGACAAGATGGAGTGCCTGGCCAACCCACTGCTCCCAGACCTGCAGAACTCTATGGATGGTTTCCAGTATCACCAACCTGAACAGAGGGAGCACAGTCAACTCCTGTTGCAGGGTACTCCATGGATGCCCACCTATCTTCTCCACTTCCCACAAAATAAACCCAGCCTTTGGAACACTTGTCTGCCAGCACTGAAGAGACTCAGCAGCATGGTGGTGACTCCTATTGGTGGTAGATTTCTCCATGGTGGTAT